TCACACACACACACACACACACACACACACACACACACACACACACGCCCTATACTCTCCCACACATGCAGCCACACCCCTTCATAACTCTCCCCACACCCACATCTCCATCCCCCCCCACATAATATACAAGAGTAAGACTTTATTTTCAACCTATTATGCAATCGCCTCTATATACACTACACAAACCTTTTATTTGTAATAAAATTAAAATATGTTATAGTAGGTGTTTGACTTTTAGTGTATGATTTGTTTTTTTTCTGGTAGATGGTAACCCCCTCCCCTCCCAAAAGGAGTACTTCCAGGGGCAAAGGGGGGGACTTCTAGTGGCAAAGGTCAGGGGTTAGAGGCAGGATTTCTGGCCCCAAGATGGTGTCCAGGGGTGTGGGGCATCTGTCAAGGGACAGGGCTACCCTTGTGACCCTCGACAGCTCACCAAAACTCACTATAACTTGAAATAATTGCCCACCCCTGCTTTATGGCATAAATAGCACATGTAGATTTGCCCAGTGTGTAATTAAAATGTGGAACTCAGTGCCACCAGATGTTGTAGAAGCTGACAGTTTAGCTAGATTCATAAAGGGATTTGGATACATTTTTAGAGGAGAGGGGCATCTGTAGCTATTGAGCATGAGAGTTAGGAGTACAGCCTCTGAATTAGGGCTTCTTAGACCTAAGGGGCACTTTTACGTATGCTCTGAGAGTGGGGCAGGTACGGCGCTTTAATCAGAGCAGGGACCACTGAGTTAAGGTTGTAGTCTGAAGGTTTTCCTTTGTTAGAAATTCTCATTTTTGAACATGCAATGAGGTCTACAGAAGCCCACCAGAAGCATACAGCCACTTCTGTTTTTAAAAAATTATGACTTCTGTCCCTTTTAAAAAAAATGTATTTTGTTTTTCAACTTTAAGGAGCTTGTCAGTCTTTATAGACTCCTTTATAAAATAATAGCTATCGGTTAAAGGTCACAATAATATAGTTAAAATGTGGGTTGGTTTGTAAGCAAATAACGTTCTGCAGATCTAACCTTGTGAGAGCCTTTAAATGTTCTTGCGTAACCCCTGCGCTGCCACATTTCTAGATGCCCAGAATAATACTTTTAAAGTGTCCTTTTGTCAATTCTTATTTGTATCTACAATTAAGTTATTTTTGGTTAAGTATACTAAAGTTCTCAATTTCAAATAAGAGATTTCATAAATTCCTCATATAGTCCTTATAATATTTACCTTAATAAATTAAGGCAAATGTATCACATGCTCTTAAATGCATAATGTTGGAGTATTTTATCATTAGACTTATGCAAAGCATATTTTAACATGGATTTGTTTAGCTATTATTACTATCTGTGCTGCTTGCTTTTGTGTCGACCTCATCTCCTTCCTCTGAGCTTTTCTCTTCTATTTATTGTACAAGCAGTTCCTTGCTAATTAAAATGAATACTTGGAAAACTTTCAGATCTCAGGCTTATTAACCGAGACAAGCTGTCCAAAGTGGGAGTGAAAGTTAATTTACTATAAATTTAATACTACTGCCTACATGTATGCTTAAGACTGTATAATAGAAACACTAAATCACTGTACTTTAGCCAAATTGATTTAAGCTGTGAATTTCTAGCAGCTGCGTTACATTGGCCTGGTTTCTAGATTAAAAAAACCTATTATCAAAAGCTGTAGTGTTGTATCTAAATCAGCAGCTTAACTCCTTAATAATTTAGCTGCAGAGAACATACCTAGCAGCTTCTAAGCCTTTGTTTTCTGTTCCATGTTTGGGTGGACATGGGTGGCAATTAGATTTCTTGTGGGGGGAGGTGTTTGCTTGCTATGAACGGAAAGTTTTTTGGTTGTTTTTTTTTTAAACAGTGTGGTGCTTCTAAAGCGGCATTTGCTCACTTGATTTTGCTTTACAGTATGATATTTGCACTAGAGACTGGGGAAGATGTAGAACAGGTCATAGAAAAGGAAGGGGAAAAAGAAATAGATTATTTCTGAAATGAACAAATGTTGACTGAATGCAGCAGCCTTTAATAAAAAAGTCTGGCAAGATAGTTGCTTCTTTCTTCTCCCCATAGTTTCAGGGAACAGGAATTAATTTATCTAAAACATGTCTCATCTAATACCCTAGAGTCTGAGGTATCAGCATAGGCAATATTATAAAGTGAAGTGGTTACTATTTGGTTTTAAATGCTTTCTTTTCTGTCACTTGTTTTTGTTTAGTGTTTGGGGTTTTTTGTGTATAACAGGGATTTACTTTATACTGCTCTTTCAAAAGAATTGCTTCTTTTGAAAAGAAGCAAAGCTTCCCATGCTTTCCATGCAAAAAAACATGCTTTCCATGTTCATGATGAATAACATTTGTAAAATCCTCAATCATATGTAGAATGATGGAAAAGTTTGTATTATTTGTGCATCTGAAAATATTTTGAATAGTGAAATAAATATTTCCTTATTCTCACATACAAAGCATGTCACAATAGTTATAGGAAGGCTGATATTTTTAAAGCACACTGAGAATGCTAAGCATCAAGTTATGATAGAAAATAGTTCCAGTCTTTTTTTGGTAAGCAGTGTAGTACAATGCACATATCTTGCAATAGGTATAACCCTGACTTTTACTTTTGTTTGTATGTAGAGGTGGTTTTATGCAATGCTTTGAAGAGTCAGATTTTTTTACTTTGCTTTCCCATGCCAGCAGAACGTTTCTGACAGGGTGCTTCCTGTAGTTTTCCTGTCGATTTAAAAACCAAAAGAGATTTGAGTTTTAACTGTTCCTCTGCTGTCAGTAAATGTCTGGGAAAGTTTTCCTTTATCAGCTAATGCAGATCCACCAGGACAAATAAAAACAAAGCTTGAAAACTTACCACAAGTTAAAAATTAACTAGCAGAAAAGAAATGTACCATTCACAATTTTCTAAAACCATTCGCCATAAACAGCAGTATTATAGCACAAGATTTATTTTTTTGCTTTTTATTAACCTAGGAAAAAGCGCACACATGCATGCACACATGTTAAAAAGAACATTTGTCAATAAGGTTACAGAATCAAGCACTACAAAGTTTGATAATGCCAGAATTTACTCAGTCCACCTTGTGCTTATTTATCATGATAGTCTTTAATTGTATGATCATCTGCTTGCAAGGCCTTGCTTCATTCATTGCCAAGACCAATTCTAGGGATGAAAAAGGGCTTATTATTGTTTGCAAACTGCTGAGGCACTGTGGTAAGAAGTTTCAAAGAAAAATCCATGAGGAAAATAATAATTTCTGAAGAGTGTGACATAAATAGGGCCTGAGATGATACACTGTGGGGACAGGGCCTGAGACAATGTACTGAACAATGAGGAGAAAACTAGTACAGGTGTGTGTCTGCTCATTAGCCTACCACTTCTCATTCTGCTCACTAGGCACTTTTACACGTGCTCCAGGGTTGGGGAGGAGGGTGGCACTTTCATTAAAACCATTGCAACATCTTGTGTATCGGCATCCCCGCACTTCAAAATGGTGGCAGAGGCCATTACAGGCCATCTGTGGTATTCTTCTGCCCTTGTAGCCATGCCTGTTTCTCACAGATGTTGCTTTAAGTTGTTCACTGGGCCCTCTGGCCCCCCCCCCCCCCCCCCCCCCCCCACTGATGCTTATCTTATAGACCTTTGGTGACTGGAGTGTTTGTTACCCAACAGGAAAGAAAGTCACACCTTTCTTCTGTATACTGTTGTGTTATGAGATTCTAAGTATTGTTATTATTTAAGAATAAAAATGTTTGCGTTGGCTTTTGCATGAAATTTGATACAAAAGCTGGAAGCTAACTAATTAAGGCTACACGCAGAATGTTGAAGTAGGTCCAGGCTGTACAAGTTCTGAATAGCTGGGACATACACACACACACACACATTGCACTGCTGCATCATGCAGGAAGCAGCCCCTTTCCCACTGTTGTGCAGGTACCCCCGTTTTGCATTTCTTGCTCCCCCTCCCCCTCACATGGCATCATATGGCACACACCTCCTGAATGTCCCATGGGCCATACTGCCCCTCCCTACCCCCAGGGGTGGGAATGGGAAGCAGAAGCTAGAGGAGCGAGTGGGAGTCCAGAGATCCCAGTGGCAGCTGTAGGAAAGTGATGAGGGAAGTGGTACCCAGACTGGGTGCTCAGGGGCTGTGAGGTAACCCATGGTGACCACATGCAGGCTGTGGGCCATCAGTTTGACACCTTGAAAGTCATGAGTGAACATTTTGTTGTCTGAGGTTGACATCAGCTTTACATATGTCATGTTATTTCTATTGTTAATAGGTGAACATTATACCGGTCATAGGCAAAGCGGACACAATTTCTAAAACTGAACTGCAGAAGTTTAAGATCAAACTCATGAGTGAATTGGTTAGTAATGGAGTCCAGATATACCAGTTTCCAACAGAGGATGAAACCATTTCTAAAATTAATGCCACCATGAATGTAAGTATCCAGCATGCATTTGGGGCAAGAAAGCTGGTAAATCATTTTTCTAGTATTAGTGTCACTCCACTACTTCTCCTCTTCTCCTGCATGCCCATGTCAAGACAATGTGGTTTTGTATTTATAACAAGTTCAGTACTTACATCTCTTCTTTTGTTAGCAGCTCAAGGAAACGCATAGAGAGACACTTATCTATTGGCTCTTTTTCTCATTTCTGTTCTCCCAGTCTATCCATTGTTAGTAGCATTCATCACCTTAAGCTAAGTTTGAACAATAGCTAGGATTTGTTATTTTGAGGGGCGTCTGTATGACGTGTTCTGGATGCTGGAGCCATACATTCCTAAGCACATTGATGGGACTGCAGCCCCTGCTAATCACTTTGCTCTTTCTTCTCACTTGTGCCAGAAAGTCAGAGTGCAGTAGTGTCTGCCCCACTGTTCTGTAGTGGATCTGACAAACATTAATATTTCTGTAAGTTTGCTAGTTTTGTGTTCTAATGATCATTTTAGCAGTTAGCAGCTTCAGTTTTAGATGAACCAGTCAGTGTACAGGCAACATTTCCTACCTTGTGGCTGAGCTCATGGCATGACCTTCGGCTTCAAACCCCAGTCTTCCTCTGACTGCCTCACGACTGTCACTAGTGAATGCTTGCTCTGCTTTGAGGAAGACTGTTTCCCACATAGTTGCTATCTGTGTTGGCTGTATTCAATATAGTTTAATATATGGGGGATAGCCACCTCAAACTCTACTTGTATTGGTTCAATCAATTGACCTTTGACCAGCGGGACTTTTGACACGTGTCTAACCCTTCACTGAAGCTTCAGAATCCATTAATGCATAACAGCCCGGGGCTTGACTAGCTATTGATCTTTTAAAATGGATTCTTAATATGACATTTATTTGTTACTTATAATTTGTCTGCTTTTCCCCAAATGCTTGTTTTTTTCCATTTATTTCTCATGCGCTTCTTACCCACACTTGTGTAAGAGTAGTAGGAGATGGGACTGAATTGCTGTAATTCTTACAGGGGCACTTACCATTTGCTGTTGTGGGGAGTCTGGAGGAGGTAAAAGTTGGAAACAAAATGGTGAAAGCTCGCCAGTACCCATGGGGCATTGTGCAAGGTAAATCTGAATTTTAGAGTGTTTTTAAGAGACCATTTCATGCTTTCAATATAAAACCCACAGAAGTGGCAGCAACATTGTTCTGTTTCTGAATGGGCACATACTAGCCAGCGTTGTCGTATTGGGATTAAGCTAGCTATTAATTAAAAAACAAAATCATTATTTGATTCTTGGAGGGTCATAGCATCACCTGCTTCAGTCCATATCTGTGAGACTAAAGGATGATGAGCATGTGTTAAATCAAATCTTGCTTGAGATATTAAGTACGTTTAATATTGTAGGAATGCTTCTTGTGTGTCAAATGTTAGAGCAGAGGAAAGTAGCTTTCTTGGATTTGAGTAGGGAGTTGTGGAAAATAGTCTTGGAACCTACTTGCTAGCATTAATATTTGGATTATGTGTTGCAAATCATGAGACAGCATATTAAACAATAATAGAAACATGGTTGCTTTCTTTCTGTTCTCCCCATCCAAAATGATCAGCCAGTTAAAAGAAACCCAACGAAATACTTTTCAACACTGCAGCTATTTGTGTATGGTGAATGTGACTATTGTTTATCTAATTAGTGGAAAATGAGCACCACTGTGATTTTGTCAAGCTTCGTGAGATGCTTATTTGTACAAATATGGAAGATCTTCGAGAACAAACTCACACACGGCATTATGAGCTATACAGGCGCTGCAAACTGGAAGAGATGGGTTTCAGGGACACTGGTCCTGAGAACAAGCCAGTCAGGTAAGAGAATGAATCTAGTTGTTTGACATAATGAAAAAGGTCTCTTGTTCTTTTCTGTTCTGGTTTGGGGGCACACTATGCAGCACACCGAGTATGGAAAAGTTGCATCTTTACTTGGTTGGAATAGGATCTCGTTCCCTATCATTCTAGTGGTGGCAAAGTCTCAGATAACTTTGAGGTAGAATAGGATCTGGGTGTATATATATAATTTTACCTTTACATTTAGGAAAGCACAGGTTAATTATACTTCTAAAAAAATCACTGAGGCTTTGTTCCTACCTTGAGGATCTTTACTTTTTTCTTGAAAAATATTTGCAATCTATATTTTTCTTATGCACATGTTATTCTCTTAACTTTTGTGTGCGTCTAAAGCTTACTTCTATTTAGACATCACTTTTCACATGTTTACTGTTCTGCTGTTTTATCTCTTCTATTACCAGCGTCTAATAGAGACTAGTAGTATGGTTGGATTCCAGAGTCAGAAAGCACTGAGACGCTTGCTTCAGTCCTATAAAATCACTAGTACCACTTTCATCTAACCTACACTTCCTTAACCTCAAACATTAGAAATTTGTTTCTGTCACAGAATATATTCCAACAGACTTGACAAGTCTGAGGCCTGACTATGGGGTGGGAAAAATTTACAAGAAATAGCTAGTTTACCAAATGGTTCTCCTTTTAGTGTGTTTAAAAATATTTGGAATCCTTCTGTTTCCTATTTTTATTATCTTGTTTTCCTGACAGTCTATCCTTTTTTTTCCTTTTTCAGCCTCCCTGTTACCCATTACCTGTAAAACTAGATCATTACACGCATGTTATGATTTTTGCATTAGAACTCTTTCAGAAATAAGTTGGTGCTTCGTGACTTCCCCCGCCTCCGTCTATAATTAGTCAAAGTCTGTTAAGGGAAATTTATGAAATGCCAAGTTACTGTTGCATAGAAGTGGTGGGTGATGCTGGCCTCAGTTTTATATTGATACAATAAATAGCCTTGAGTTTAAAATAACTATTAATGCTCTGACTTTATCTTTTTAAAAGAAAAAATCATATCATCTTTACATAGTCACTATAGAAATAGAAAATATGTGACTTTTAGTAACTTTTTAAAGAATATTTTTGTAGTTGTTTACATTCTCAACTTTTATCTTTTATCTATAAGCAGAGAAATTACAAAGCTGCAGCAACTGATGAGTTGGAGAGTGGTAACGTTTTAGAATAATAACTTTTATTGAATGAGTAGCTGTTTTTAATATTGTACTGATGAATGAGGGCTGATGAGTAGAGCCACATAGAATAGCAATCCTCAAATGGCCTATAGACCTTCAGAAAACTTATCTAGATACCGGTAGTTATGTATTTAACATGAAAAGATTTGACTCTTCTGAACTGCCTTGAGAGAGACCTGAGTGTAAATGGACACACAGATTAGCACATAAGGGTAATCTTAAATCGTCCCTGAAATGGCCTTGCGTAAATAGCAGAGAGCAGGATTGCAGAGCAAGTTTTGGGCCCTTTCAGAGTTACATGGTTATTATGGAGGAGGTTTTCAGATCACAGGTTTGGAATTAGGTGCCTGAAGTCTACCTAAGTCTAGTTTTAAAAGTTTAAGCCCTTTTCTGGGAGTGGAAGTTTTTTTTTATTATATGTAGACTTTACTGAGTATCCTACAGTGGACCCTAGCATGACATTTGATCAGCAAAAGCAGATTCAGTGACACAATGGATACCCTCAAACTGCCAGCCAATTCCTAGTTAAAGTTAGGCTGGTTAGCTATTCAAAAAGATACCCAATGTTGCCTGCATTCATGGTGCTTGCAGTAGGAGAGAAAAAACAGGAAATATACTGTTCATCTGTATCAAGGCACAGTAAAACCTTGTTCCAGGCATGCATGTCCTACAAATTGAAGAAGACACTGATAGTAAAAATCTATTTTGGAGGAAAATAGATTTTGTGATGGCAATATTTTATTAAAAGCGCCAATTAAGCAGGTTGCTATAATTCATTCATTAAAGGCTATGTTGCAGTGTGCTCACTACCCATAACTTACTACTCCTGGGTAGTTGTTGGATGCGCTGCACTTGATTGATTACATTTAGAAGCAAGCAGAAAAATAGAGGCTCTTTCTAAATATGAAAATATGTTTCAAGTACCTGATACAGACATGTTGGTAGTTTTCTAAACTTTTAAACTGCAGTTTGCAGAGCTTTTTTTATTATTTGCTGTTTCAAGTAGTTGTCATCATTGTCTCTGTTTTGTCTTTTTTTTTTTTTTTCCTTTTTCTCTCCCCTGTCCTCTTTCCACTCCAGACTGATAGCTGATTGGCTGGTCCTGTAGCTACAGAATCAAATTCTAATCGCAATTACTTTTTACCACAGGTGGCATTTCCCATGTCCTCTGAAAGGTTAGATCAGGCATGGCCAGCATTCAACCCAAATGGCATGGGCAATCAGTGTGTTTGGAATGCAGCAGTTTGGGAAGGGGCAGAGGATTGGAGTGACAGTCAGGGAGGAGGTCAGAGTCAGGTTGATGCTGGTTTCAGGGTTTGGTCCTGCAGGAACTGTGGGGATAGGTACCACTGAATTTGGTGTTGCCTCATCCCAGTGGCAACAGGCTTTGGTGGCACTGGGCAATGGCATTGGCTGATTATTAACGTAGCACTCTCTCTCGTTTTGGACTTGTGGCACACTTGTCAGAAAGGTTGGCCACCACCAAGTTTCTTATTTCTGTGTGCTGCACATTTCTTTTCAAACTGGTGTGATATTTAGTATTCATCATTACCATCTATAATGGAATTTAGAGAGAAGGCCCTGTATGTTAAGTTTACCTTATTGTATGCTGTCATGGCAGGGTCCTGCAGGAGGGCTGTGATTTCCTCAAGGCCCCCTTCCCGTGCCAAGTTAGCCCAAAGGGCACCCTCACTTCTCGTCCGCCACGTCTTTGATGTTACAATATATTAGGGAGGCTGCTTTACGTCCTCTTGGACATGGGTTGCTATAATATCTGACCCCGTGGACTCCCGGACCCCTTGTGGGTCCTGCTCTGCAATGGGTGCTTCAGGGGCACCCTAGCCTTATGGGCTCTGCGTGGCTCCAACCACCCCTTTACCACGCCCCAAGCCTCGCAGCTGGAATAGACGTTGTTCAGTCCAGCTCTACACCCTCTCTCTGGTGCTTTGGCTCCCTGCGGCCCTGTCTCTCTCCGTGCCCTCTTCTCTGGGGCTCCTCAAACAGCTGCCCCTCTTCTCTGGGGCTCACCATACCCACACTGGGGCTTCTCAACTGCCTCCTTTCTGGGACTGGGGTCAGTGCACCCTGACTGCTGCGCCCTCACTGGCGCTGGGGTCCCCACACTGCTGTGGGTCCCCTATGAGGCCTCCTTCAACCCCTAGGAGCCTCACCCAAACCACTGGTGATAAACAGCAACACAAACGCAAGCCCTTTGGCTATAACTTAAACGGAAGCTGCTTGGCTATAACCACGTTCAAGCCTACCGGGGATTCTTCATCTCACAGCCGTGTCAGACGCTGCTCCTGCATCAGGCTTCTCCTCTCTTCCATGACAGAAAGCTCCTTCCTCCTTGGCTGCTGGCAGGGAACTGCCTCTGGCCTCAGCCCCTAGGGTTTATAAGGGAGCCAGGCCCTGCCCCTTTCAATCAGCTGACTGCCAGCAGGTGCGATCTCTTGCTAGCTCCAGTTGCCCTCGCAGCCAACAGCTGGGCTCCTTATTCAATGCTAGGGCTCTTTTCCTAGCATTTTTCTCCCTTTTTAGGAGCAATGCACCTAAGTGCTCTGTGACATATGACTAATGTCAGTCATTTGATCCCTCCTGCCATATAGACTTTCCTTTGTAAGGCCTATGCCTGAGATTTACTGGATGGATTTCCTAATTTATCAGGGATTTAAATGTAGTTGGTTAAACTTGAGGTAGGATTATTTAAAGGTCTAGTCACTTCTTAGAATGCAATTATAAAAAGTGTCTGGAATGTAGTTCCAAATCAAAGTGAGTTTTATTTCACTAAGCAGTTTTGCAGAGGACCTTGGATTAGAGGATTGCTATAGTTATTGAAAAGAAAAAAGTTATTTAATTATGACTACAACAACACTCCAACCATGTTTAATTATGGGACATTGTTACCTTTTTCTCTCTTAGCATCCTCTCCTATTTTCTGTTAGTCTTTTGTTGTTAGAGCCTTTGCTTTCTTTCAGCATTATTTCCTATTATCTGCTAGAATCATGTGTTGCATCTTAATTTAAGTGGGAGCATCTCGGAGTAAATAATCTCTTTCCATGTTGTCTGTGAGCACCTTGCACACTTTTGGACATGCGAATAAGGGAAGTCAGGTATGCCATAAACAGTGGACACTTACTAACATAGTTTTTCATTGTAGAAAGCTTATGACCATATATGCACTTGTTGAATATATTTGTAGTTGTTAATTAGAATAAGAAGAGGTACGAGGTACTGTAGTTAATACATTTCTTAGCGCATTGATAAAGCTTTGTGCTTCAGAGCGTAAACCAATGTCTAAGGGGTTAAAGCGGGGTGGGGGAAGCAGGCTTTCTCAAAGCTGTCTACACTGGACTTCTTATGCATCTTACCTGTGAGTACCTGATGGTGCTGACTACTTTTGTTAGCAGCTCAAGGAAACACATAGAGAGACACTTATTTACTAGAATCATGTGTTGCATCTTAATTTAAGTGGGAACCTAGATCTGCACATACTGAAGTAACTTGAGAAGAGTTTTGATTTAGTACTGAAATTCCCGTTTCCTATCTTTGCTATAAAGATTCCATGCATATAGATATAAAGGACTCCCCCCCCCCCCCTCCCAATTCACAGCCATCATAGTTGACAGGATATTAAACTCCATCCTTAAGAAGACATTTAGACCAAGGATGTCTCCTGCTTATGCCTTTATTTAGTGAAATGCCTTGGTGAGTAGACAGGCCTTCTGTGTTTTTGAAAGTTATTAAATAGCAGTTTAGGGGAACAAGTGCAGAGTAGGGAGTGTAAATTGGAGAACTCCACTGAAAACGCTGCTGTCAGTCTCAAGAATATATTGTATTTATTTGCATACCGCATGTACCTTTCCCCACAAAATTAGCATTTCCAAATTAGAGTGCATGCCCTAATCAGGGAAGCTGATTTTCTGCTCAGAATAGTAGTATGGATATGCTGTAAGATGGTTGGTGCTTTTCATTCTCTTTCTTCCAGCGGCCTCATAGAGGGAGGGGCAGATGTGGTGGTAGGAAGCACAGGGGTGGAGGCATATAGTGGTATGGTCTCATTTCACTTTGATTCCGGCTGTACCCGAAGTGTGAAGCCAGCTGTCCAGCAGCAGCAGTGGCATTTTTGTTCAGCCAGTGCTGGAGGAGTCAATTAACATTATGGTTTATTATAACCTACCTGATGTACTTCTGGTTCCTCCTTACTCCACAGGTGTTAAAGATCCTCTCTCTTTTTTATGGTCTTGCTGTTCCACTAAACCGGCTATCATTTTTTCAGCAATTTTGCTGTCTGTTAGCTGTTAGATACTCCCAGTATCTCTCCTTTTATTTCACAGCCCTGCAGAATGTTTTTAGTTCTTTTCAAAATCCTAGATCTGCCCATGGAGTCCACTCTTTAGCAACAGCTATAGTTTAAGCTTTTGGCTGAGCAGCCAAGGCTTTTGACAGTTCAGCTATGAAAGAGTTAAAAATGTAGCTTCTGCCTAAGCAGGAAAGAGGCTGAGTGAATGGAAGATTAGGTTCTGTCTCTACTGGTGACCATTACTTTGGAAACATCCTTTTTTCCCTTCCTTCTGCCTTCCCAAAAACAAGTTGCAAGTTTTATATGGGGATGTGTGATATGTTAGAAAATATGGTAAATCTTGACTATTGTGCCTTAATTGATATTGGCTTGTGATGTTAAAAAGGCATTAAAATTTGACTGCCCAATGCAGGCTTTTCGCAGTGGACTATACATGTAGGCATAAGTTCTTTCCATCCCTTTCTTGTAGACTATCATTTATAAGCGGAGTAACCCAAACTATGAAACATCAAGTGTTCTACTGAGAGTTAGAATTCAGTTCATTTAAGATCTTTGAATGTGAGCAGAACAAGATTAATTTGCACCTTTGGTTTTTAGGCTCGCACTACTAAAGTATTACGCAGATAGGAAAAAGTCTGTATCTCACAGCCAGGCTACTGTAGAAAGGTAGGTGGTAGTGCTACCCTGAGGTATGTAGTAGATCAGTAATGTATTAAGTTATTTACTTTAGTGTTAGGTAAATACATTGGTCACAAAGAAGGGAAAGTCTTACAGAAAGATAACAAAGATGTAAGAAGGCAGCCAGGCCCTGAGGACAACGGGCCTTATGGGAGCAGTGGTGACTTCCAGTTGCTAGCGTGATCATGCAGTTGCAGTGGTAGCTGATACAGGCAGTCCTCAGACTTATGACAGAATTGGTTCCTGAAAGCTGCATCTTAAGTCAAAACATTGCAACTTGGAACCAATTTTCCAATAGGAAACAATGTTATAAATGAGGGATTGGTTCTTGAACCAAGACCCGATACCCTATTTTCACCAAAAATAACCCATTATTTTGTACTCGATCAATTATAGATGAATAATATAGCTACATTAATGTATTTCTATTGTAAATAGCAATCATATTGATTTGAAAGGACTTCTTTGAGGTGACTTTGCTGGACTTTTTGAAGGGCTCTTGGTTGGACTTTTTGAAGGGTTCTTGGCTGGAGTCTTCTCAGGAGTCTTGGCTGCAGGTTTTTCTGGAGTCTTGTCTGCTTTCTTAAAGAAAGTGTCCAATTAAGTTTGGACCGATGCTCTCCAGGGAGATGTGCAATGCAGCTAACTTGTTCGCTGGCATGGCGTCAGGTCAGATCAAACATTGTAAAGTCAAAACTAATGTCAGAAAGTTGAAACAGGGTGTCAATTTACAAACATTGTAAGTGTGAAACGTTGTAAATTGAAATGCTGTAAGTTGAGGACTGCCTGTATTTTTCCTCACCTCCCCCCAAATTGGCGCCTGTGGTAGCTGTCTCAATTGCGCCACCCTGTTTATGCTACTGGGTTATAACATCCATGCATTTTTTTTTCATTTAAAAGCTGGAGTGTATTATGTAAGCATAGCACAACCACTCTTATGTAAACTTTGAGAATTCATTTACTATGTACAGTTTTATGAGGGTAAAGATAGATGTAACAGTTGTATCGGTAGCAAAGGTTACTGATAAAAATTGTTATGATGCAGCTGTTACATTTGCATGATTCTGTAGTGATGCGGGCCCTAATAAACCGTTCCAATTTTAATCTTACTTCAGTCAGGGTCGAAACTAGGGCAGTTTAGCTCATATATCCACAGGCTCATGCAGACAGAGCAATTCCTGGTGTAACGGCTGATACATACTCCTAAGCAACAGCAGCTCCTCCTCCGTTTTTAAAGTATGTATGTCCATACTCTGAGGAATGGGTTAGCTTAAGCTTAAACTCTAAGGAAATACAGCTCACTTATAAAATGAAGTACTCATTAATTGTACTGTGGATATTCAAACATAGGAGGGAAAAAGATTGAAGTCGATATATTTATTTTTATTTTGTCATTCTGAAAGATGATTGTCACACATGCTAATATAACTGTTTGGGTTCAATGCGATGAGCACGGATTACAGCAGTAAGAAAGATGCATCAGCCTAGGCTTTAGCACGTGTTACCACCCATAGCATGTACCAACAGTTCCTGGAGAGCTTTGTATTCTGGTTGCTAGCTCATGATACAGCCTGAGTTACTGTTAGGGTGGCCACATAGAGGACATTCTGGTTTTCTGCTACTCTGTCCTCTAGTCATATGAAACCCGATGCCTTTATGCCCTCTATTTTTTTCTTCAAGAGAAAAATAGAGGACATAAAGGTGTCCGGTTTCATATCAGTAGAGGACAGAGGACAACTGGACTGTCTTCTATGATGACCACCTTAGTTACTGTATTGGTTTCTTAATAGTACAGTTACTGCTAGCTGGATTAAAGTAGCCTCAGGTATGCTGGCATATGCTCAGATTCCATTTTCATTTTGCTATAGAGACTACTTTTAGGCTTGAACTAAACTAGTTCCCTAGCTAAAGAGGTAGGGGGTTGTTCCCAAGACCTTTTAAAATGTTACATAAAATATTGCAGTGCAATAGTCTTGAGGCAGGAGAAGTGACATTGCTATATGTACTATTGCATATAGCATATAAGCAATTGCTATATGCATATATGACATTGCATATAATGTACTATTGAAATTTTAGGCCTAAACACACATTTTCAAAAGGGAATGGTGCTCTCCGTATTGAGGTTGTAGGGTAAGCCAAGATGAATCAGCCTTTCGGAATTTGGAAACTTCCTGTCATTGTCATTAAACTAGCAGGAGGCGTTTTGGCTTACTGTAACATCTAAATCAGCAATTTAGATTCTTAGTTTCCTTGTTTTAGAGTGTGTTCTGTTTTTTTTTTCCCATTGGAAGTTAATATATGAGTGGTAACAGCTAAAATGGAATTTAAATCCGTTAATATATAAAGGGAGGCCACAAGAATTTAATAAATATGAATCTGGTGTAGCATTTGAGCTGTCTTAGAGCAAGCCATATACTTCGTCGTTGAGAGCAAAGGCAAGAGGTCAGGGGAAGGGGATAAGAGTATAAAAATAGACTGATGGAGCACATATGGAACATCCAAACAAAAGTCATCATCTTCAAGATTTTGGCAATCCTGTTATTAAGCTATTTGCCATTATTATGTTCTGTAGGAAATGAAACAGATTCTCAGTTTGTGTAAACCACTGTAGCTTTATTGAACCTACCTCATCTGAGGATCTGACCATAAACTAAATTTTTATGTAATTTTGTCTTAAAAAAGAAAGTACCAGTAATTTTTTTGGGAAGATCATACTAACCTAGACTTTACAATGCACTTTTCAACAAAGTTATACTTTTCTAAAAATGGGAATGGTGATAAGTATTGATTTATTCTTAAATATGTGTTTTAATAGTCTCATCTCTATTCTGTGTCCGTAGGTTTGTACAGCCAAAACTATTTTTCTCCTTAAGTTTCAGATATTAGTGCTTGACTTTGTTAGCTGCAGTAAAAAAGCTAAAAATTAAAAAAGTACATTGGCTATATTTTTGTCAGGTATATTCATACATATCAAGAAATGAGCCTATGCAGATATCAAAGTATTTGTAAACCCATATTTCTCATATATCCACCTGATTGTGGCAACCTTTATTACTTTTAAAATCACATTAGAAATCTTGTGTTATTTGCTTTCAAGACAGACTTTCTTACTTTGTAACTTTCTTAGAAAGATAGCTCTTTCATGAAAGTTTAATAAGTCTAAAACAGTGTTTCTCAACCTTTTTGGCATCCAGGTACCCCACCACTACAATTTTGAATGCGGCGGCACCCCTGGGTGAGAACCCTTGTTGGTGCTGCCTAAGCTTACCTGAGTGCTTCTCAGCCAGGTTCCAGGAGGACTGTAAGTGAGGACAGACCAGAAAGAGCCTGCACAGCATGAGGCAGTTTTGCTTAAAGCCTTAATGCAGGGGAAGCATGCTGGGCACCTAGCCATTGCCACTGTGGCACCTCAGTTGGGAACTGCTAGTCCAGAACCTCTTTGTGCAAGGTAGAATCTGAATTTAGCATTTCAGAGACACTGATTTTTTGTGGGGGTGTTTTTTGTTGGTTTTTTTTTTTTAACATCAGGCTCTCCAAGTATGAGAACTTTTTTGTTTCTCCAAAGGTTGGATATCTTGCTACCCCTGTTTCTGTAAACTATAAATCACGCAAATTGGAGTAAAAATATACCAACTTCATTGTTTCTAAAGCATTGCTGTCCTAAATTGTTGTGTTTTGAGATCAAATCATACTGGCTAAGAAGTATTCTGTGTGTGTGTTAAACTGACTCATACATTTATTTAAATCAAAATCCAGAAGGGTGTACTGGCTATGCCTCTTGTTCAGCGATAATTATTCATTTTATATGAGAAGTTTTTGAGAATTAAAGATTTGAGCCAAATACAACTTGTTGAAGTAATGTGCCAGACAAGATTTGAATGTTTCACTTATTTCCGTATTATATAAACCATATGGTAGACTGTTTATATTCTCTGGACTTCAGTGTACAGGAGACCTATGAAGCAAAGAGGCATGAGTTCTTTGGTGAATTACAGCGGAGGGAGGAAGAGATGAGACAGACATTTGTGCAGAGAGTCAAGGAGAAAGAAGCAATACTGAAAGAAGCTGAGCGTGAGGTGTGTATGCCTCTGTTTTTCTATTTAATTTGATGGTGTTTGAAATTTTTTGCAAAATTGCAACTGTGTTGATATTTTGTAATAAAATTTAATTTAACATTTACATTGCATTTACATTGAGGGGCCATGACTAGAATGGCTCCTTTGTACTAGATGTTGTACCAACAATGTATAACAGTTCCTGCCCCAGAGCATTTGCGGTCCGAAGGGCTGTCTGTCTGGGTGAAACAAATAAATGGGCTGGGATAAAGGGTGATGAAGATGGGGTAATGGGGGTAATAGTCTGTGCGATTTTTAGCTCTTGTGTAACATGATCCCTGCTCACCATCCCCTACTGGATATCAAGTTATAGTTTTCTATATGAATTGTAGTAGAGTGATTTTTAAGCAGAGAGCAGAAAGATAGATAAGATGGCGACTGTAGGTATTGACCCACAGAGGAAGGTTTGAAATGAGCAGTATTTTAAACAGTACTTTAAAGACAGCTAACAGGCAGGACCACCCTATTGAACCTCAAAAAAAGTAGCAGACAAAATCATATTTTGCCAATTCTTCTTGATGGTAGACAAAATTCAGTGACAGTGAGACTGAAGAATACTTTATTTCCCAAAGAAACCAACTCCTTGGTATCTTTATTCATAATGGGCACATCTACATGAGATGCTTACTGCACAGTTGACTAACTAGGCAGTAAACATCTCTGTGCCTACATGTGCCTCCCTATTAGGGCGTACAAAACTATTAAACTCCAAAGCAGAGTAGTACTTGTAAATAAAAGTACTGCCCTGCTCCAGTTTTTTTTGTACACAGCAGCACATGTATAGATGCTGAACCAGCTGACTAGGCCATGAGGGTGCTTCTGTACAGGGGCTGTCTGCAGGCTAGTGTGCCAGAAGGCAAGTGCGGGGAAAAAATGCAAAAGTGCTTGTTGCAGAAGTTTGTTATTTGATGTTGGCATCACTGGCAGAGTGAAGGTAGGAGTCAAACTTGCAGTAGAATAATGAGGATACAGCAAAACTGTAGAAGACTTGGAAAGTCGAGATAAATAATTTTTATTGGTAATCGAGGGCGATGCATAGGGGGTGCATGCAGGTGCATGTGCACCCCCTGCAAAAAGGCGCTGTCAACAATGCCGGCGCTGCCTTTTTGCATGAGTGAGCAGTCGCTGCTTGCCAACCCGCTGCTGACACCGCCAGCGGTATCTGCAGGCAGTTCCCCCGTTGCCAACGGTGCCGGCGGTGTCTGCAGGCACTCTGTGCTTACCGGTGCCAGGCTCCCACTGCCACTCTCCTGCCACTGCCAGTGCAGCTGGCCCGGCCACCGGGGGCACACGCCATTCATGTTGGTAGTGGAAGTGGAGAGACAGTAGAAGGAAAATAAACTGTAATTTGCTCTATTATTTATAAATCCCTCATTTCTGTAGGATGTAGATATGCCTTAAACAATTAAAGATAATTACAACATGGTGGGAGAAATCCATAGACTGTTTGTTCTTTAGCCCAAGTTGATGCTATATACAATGATAAGGACTTGTTAGTACTTGTGACAGCCAATGAGAAATCGTACTGTCTTGGAGTGTCTAGTTCCACATTGGATGTGTCTACACATGCCTTTATGACACATGAATAAACTGCAGTGCTTATTGCTTTGCAGGTTAATGCTCCCAGGAAGCTCCCAGGCACGCCGTTTACATGTGCGGCCAGATGGCAACACATTGAGCCAGGTCAAAGCACCTCTGTTTGGTAGGGGGCCCCGGGGGTCAGCCTGCTAGCCCAGGGTGGCTCCAACCCAGCTCAGTGTGCTGTGGAGGGGCTGGCTGGGGCACAAGGGTGCTTCAGTGCAGGGCTAGCCTGCAGGCAGCCCCTGCACTGAAGCATCCTCGTGCCCCAGCTAGCTGGCTCAGCATCTACACGCGTGCTGCTGTGCATAAAAAACTCCGGAGCAGGGTAGTACTTGTATTTACAACTATTTACTTGCATTTACAAGTACTACCCTGCTCCGGAGTTTAATCGTTTTGTATGCCCTAATAGCTTATAGGGGTACACATGAAGACCCTGAGATGTTTACTGCACAGTTAATTAGTCAACTGTGCAGTAAACATCTCATATAGACGTGCCCATTATAAATAAAGATACCAAGGAGCTGGTTTCTTTGGGGAATAGAGTATTCTTCAATCTCATTGTTACTGAGTTTTGTCTGCCATCAAGCAGGACTGGCAAAGTATGATTTTGTCATCTACTTTTTTGAGGTTCACTATAGTTTTTCTGCCTGTTAACTGTCTTTAAAGTACTGTCTTAAAATTGCTTCTCATTTCAAACTCGGTTAATGCTGTTAACCTTCTACTATTTTTTTCCATGTGCCTCAGTATCATATTTGGGAGGGGATGCATGCATTTGTTTGTTAGTTTTATAGTTTCAATATCAAGAGGATGTTTAACTAGGGTCAGAATTTCTAAACAGGATAGAAGCTTTAATTTTATAGATATAAAGATAACATGTATAGTTAGTTCATTTCCTGAGTAGGAATAAACTATGCCAATATGAACACTCTCATACTGAAGAAACAGTTTTGTGTCCAAAGGCAGCACTCGCAGATTGTATCCAGTATTGAATATGGTTGTCTGTGTTTACTTTTTGGAAAAGATGGCTACCTAGTCAGAGGAAATGCTCAACCTTCTTTAAGGGTTGCCCTCTAATTGTAGAGGAGCAGCTGGTTGGTTTAGCCTGGATTGCTAAAGGATCTTGGCTTTTATGCAGTTGACAGTGAGACCAAGCATTTCATACTCTTCACAGAAGCGATCAAGTGTGCCCTGGAGCCCTGTAGTTGAGTGGGCACACATGACAGTCATCAGCGTGTTGAAGATCAGAAATGTAGGTGTTGGTTATCTTGAATTTTTAATGTAACTGGTCGAGATTAAAGAGATTCCTGTCTATGTGATACTGGATTCTGATTCCAGAGGGAAGTCTATTTATTAGTAATGAGGTATGGAATTGCCACAGTACAGACAGAAGAGAGTTGGTGCATATTTGCCTGACTAGTGCTAATATTGAAGGGGTTCTTTTCCCAGCTGTTGCTTAGGATGATTGCTGCCATGCCAACATGAAGAACTCTAATAATGGTAACAAATTTTGGCATGCATCCAAGTCCTATCAGGCCCTTCCATAAGGCCTCAGTAGATTGAATCAAAGGCCTTAGTCAGGACAAAGAAGGCCAAATAAAGATCTTGGTGTTGCTTGTGGCACATTTCTCCTGCAGCTGTCTGGCATCAAAGATCATGTCTCTCATAAATTTGAGTGGTCTTAAACTCCATTAGGCACAATCTCTTCAGTGAGGAAAATGAGTCTATCAGGGAGAATGTGGGAGAGGATCTTCCTAGCTATGGGCAGGAGTGCAATACGATGGTAACTGCTGCAATCAATCTCCTTTTTTGAATATGGTATTCATTCTGGCATCTCTTGAATGATTGGGAATTTGTTCATGTTCTCAGATATTCATAGTAATGACGTGCAGTTGGTAAGAGAGTTTTTTTTTCCACCTTGCTTATCAATTTTAGTTGGTATTCCATCAGAACCACATGCTTTATTGTTTCTTATCTGCTTAATGGCTTTCAGGATCTCTTGATAAGTTGGTGGATCTTCAAGGTAGTCCTTATGGGGTATTGTGGAATGGCATCAATGGTATTGTTTTCAACATTCAAATCTTGATTCAGGAGCTCTTGAAAGTGCTCTTTCTACCAGGTGTTTATGGTGAAACTGTAGTTGAAGAGTGTTGTTCCATTCTTGGAGCTCAGAAGGAGCTAGAGATCCAGGATTTCCTAGAGGGAGGTGCAGGAGCTGCATCCTGCATTTCAAGGATGACTAATGCCCCTGCTCCCAGGCTCCTCAACCTCCACTGGTAAGATCAGACTGCACTGTGTAGCCTTGGGAGACTTTAAGTCTCTAAAGCAGCTGGAAATCCTCCCTCCTTTTTTTTTTTGGTGCTCAGAGGCATGTCTTCTCCCCACCACCCCCTTTCCCTGCCTGCTGCAGCAGCAGGTTGAGGGAAGGGGAAGGGCAAGGGGAGTGTGTGGGGCATGCCTCTGAGCACAGATGGAAAGGGAGTGGGATTTTCACCTGCTTTAGAAACTTAAGTCTTTAGAAGCTCCCGTACCATGGTCCAGTCCAAAAGGGGGGTGAACCTGCATGATGGCACCCCCTCTGGATCTGCCCCTGGATGGCTCCTTTTGTGCTTGGCCCATAAATGGCTTTGGTTGCACTGAAGGAACTATGTATGCCATGGCTATTGTGGCAGGCTTCTGAATCTCTGTTGCTTTATCCTCCTACCACTTATTCTTTTACTTTTGAACCTCTGGGTATCAGCTTTAACGTGTCTTGCTCCTTTTTTAATTTGATGTCATTCTGGCAAGCTTTGAAGGCTATCCTTTTTCTGTCAATGAGAGCTTGAATTTCTCTATTGTTCTCATTGATCCAGTCCTGATGTTTCTTTATGGACAAGCCTAGAGATTCTCCTACCTCATGGGTGCCTTTCTTGAGGCATCATCTCCCAGTGATGTCAAGATCATCAGGGAGGTTGCCAAGTTTCTCAGTGAGGCACTGCTGGAGACCATCGCTTTTTTTAGCAGGGTCTTTCAAGCACTCCTCCTTGGTTGCTTCTTTGTATGTAATTTTGGGGCAATATGAGATGAACGTATCAAACGATGATCCAACCAGCAGTTATATGCACTGGACAGTTATCTGCACTGCACAGTTATCTGCTCTGGTTATACAGATGTTACGGCACTCCTGGGCATGCACTGTGATATGGTCAGTCAAGAGCCATAAGGAGTTTGTGATGATGAGATCATGTTCCAACCATTTGCTCAGGAGAAAAACTCCACTTGAATTGACTTTACCCACTGCTGCCTTTCCAAGTATTCTTTTGCATAGCTCTGAGTCCCGGCCCACTCTGCTATTGAAATCACTAAGAAGAATGAGCTTTCCTTCTTTTGGGACAGATGACAGGACTTGGTCAAGTTTAGACTAGGAAAACCCCATTAAGGTAATGATTTTCACTTTTGTGCCATTCTATTCAGATTGACGTGATTGGTATAATTCCTTCTTCATTTTTAACACAGATTAAAATCTGGAAATAAATGTTTTGTCATAAAGGCCATTTAAAAGCTGTTTACAAAAAAAAACAAACCTGGATGGGTTAAACCATTCCTCAGATGCATCCTCCAACATGCATCTCTGATCAAAAGCATATACAGCATATCAGGGCCTGGACAGACAACAGGTTCATAGAGGTATAGCTTACATTGACAGTGCATTAGGAGGGCACGTTGCCCCCCAGATTTCTGCACCAACAACAGGGCGCGGGGCATGGGGCTTCAGCCTGGCTGGATCCAACGCCTGGCAGCAATGGGGCAGTGGCGGCGTGGAATTGTGCCCTCCCTGTTGGCAGCACTTGTATGTTGCCTGTGATAGCTTATATCAGTTTTGTGCACTGGCATAAATTACACTATACTGTATATAAATGTAGACAAGAAGTCATATGGGAGTATTAGCACATAGTGGGCACTATTACAATGTCTCACTGCTAGGTAGAAAAAGAGCAGGTAACAGTCAATCTGCCTTAAGCCTAAATCTCTTCCAGCATAGACTTAAAATAAAATGCTAACATAATTATAAATTCTGCTGGTGTAATTTAATCCCTGATTTTTCTTGGATAATTCTGTACTGGATTCAAGCAAGCTACCCTGGTCTTTGCCTCTACATTATTTGTGCATTTATTGTTTATATTGTTTATAAAGTTGTAAATGTCTTGTGTCCAAGCTCTTATATTCTTAACTATCTAGGAGGTGTATGTTCTTAAATATAAAGGAGTTCTTTTTATATAAACACTATTTAAGAGGATTTTGGTGCATCTGTTCTTATGATTTCATGAAGCAATGTATTTCTTTAAACAGTTGAACAATATCAGAATCTGTAATGATAACATAATGCAATTTTTTTGAGTAGCTGAATAAGTTATAGCAGTGTTGGAGTGATGTTATATCTGTGATGGTCCAGGAATATGTGGGTGGTAAGGAATTTGGAGACTGTATCTTGTATTGGACCACCTGCATGGTTGGGATAGACTTAGACAACATTTCAAATGCAATGCATTCTTCTTCAGGTCTGAGGAAAAAGAATGCCCTCCAAGACCTGAAGAAGAATGCACTGCATTTAAAAACTTGTCCGTTGTAACCATGAAGTTGGTCCAGTAAAAAATACCACCCACAAAAATCCTTGCCTCTGACTGAGTTATACTTAGACTGTTAAGAATGTTTCCTTATGGCAAGGCTACCATCTTGTGTCATGAGTCAGAAGTGCAATTTTTGTGCCCTATTTAACAGCTGCAGGCTAAATTTGAACATCTTAAACGGCTTCATCAAGAAGAGAGGATGAAACTAGAGGAAAAAAGAAAGCTTCTGGAAGATGAAATGATTGTGTTCAGTAAAAGGAAAGCTGCCACTGAATTACTCCAAGCACAGGCTTTTGCATCCACACCTACAGTTAGTTTGAAAAAAGACAAGGATCGGAAAAAGTAAGTACTCCTTTTAGCAGTCTAGAGTACCAATAGAAAAAATTCCTTGCATTTTAAAAGAGTTACTTAGAAATAGATATCAGTCATGTTTTAAAAAACTGTATAAATGTGATCTGTTATTTGATAAGAAGATAAAAGTGTGAAAATACCATTATTTTTAGTTATTGGCTTAAGTAACTTAGTATTGGCTGATTTAGAAGCTGCTGCTTGTTCTGAGAATTCTTTTTTTCAATAAGGGATCCAAGTTTTCGGCTTGAAATCCTGTGCTTTGACGTCAAAAATCAAGAAAGTGATCAGGAGCAGAGAGAGAGAGAGAAGTTAGAAAGGGAGAGATTCACACACAGGGAATTCCAGAAATAGCATTTGGATGCAATTCTCAGGTTTTATGAGTTTAGGGTATGTGTTAGTTCTTAAAAGTTGTAGAAAATACAGAATTGATCTGCACAGCTATTGTTTTCTTGCATTTTTTTTTTCATTTGTTGTCTTATCGCTGAGTTCTGTGCTGTTCTCTAACGAATTAATCCAATGTGGATCTTTGCCATTACCAAATAGTCTAACCACCTTTGGATTAATGGTTCTAATTAATTTATATTTCTGTGATATCTTCTCTTTGCTGAGGAGCCAGATGCTGCATCAAACCAGGGATCCTGGTTGTCTCTGATTAACCCAAAAATTGGGGATTTTTTTTTAAAGGTAAACCAAAATCCACATTTTTCCATGATTAAAATGAAATCACATCGCGCGTGCGCTCACACACACACACACACACACACAGAGAGTGGTGTTTCATTTTGATCATGAAAAAATGTGGATTTTGGGTTACTTTTTTTTACCTGAAAATTGGGATATTTTTTATCAGAGAAAAACCAGGATCCCTGATCATAACTGTTGTCAAATCTGCTTACAAATCCCAAACTTTAGGTCTTTGTAACTTGTCTATGCAATTGTACTATAAACTGAACATTCCCTAGAACAGTGGTCACCAATCAGTGGATCTCAATCCACTGGTAGATCTCCGAGCCTCTTGCAGTAGATCTTGGAGCCTCTTGGAATTGATCTGAGGCTGGAGTGGAGACCTGAGTTCCCGTGTGCATGCACACACGCCTCCCAGCCTAGCAGGTCAGTCCGTGGGGAAGGGAAGGGGTGGGGGCTAGATTGAGGCCCCGCAGTGAGGGACAGTGCCGCAGAGGCAGGAGCAGGGGTAAGTTGAGTGGGGGCCCAGGCTGGTGGGACTTACCTGCTGGGGAGGCATGCCCCCAAATAATTTTTTCTGTCTGCCTTGATCTGCCCCCCCCGCCCTTCCCTCCCCACAGACGTACCTGCTGGGCTGGAGGAGAGCAGGGAGGCGGTGGTGCATGGTAAATCTTGGGTTGCTTTTAAATGCCAAAGGTGATGTCCTACTTTAAAAGGTTGGAGACCACTACCCTAGAATATGCCTTTTCGGAACTTGTGGTGGTCTCCCTGATCCCCCACAAAACTAGAAAAAAGTGGAATTCTAGAGGTACTTTGAAAAAGCAGAACTCCAAAGTACTGTTGCAAAACTAATGTGTTTACAGAAATAAAACTGATCCACAGAAAATATTCTTTAACTTTGTGGAGGTGACAAAACCAACAAATGCTGTTATATAATTAATATTTTTTATAAAATATAATATTGATGTAGTGGATTATAACGTAACTGTAATTAAGTGGATGCTTTGTTGGTTTATGTCAGCTTCACTGAAACTGAAAACATTTTTGATCTGATGCACAGATACATTTCACTAGCCAAGAAAAAGGTAGAGGTTATTCAGGCACAAATGTCAAACAGGATTGGGCGGGGTTGTTGGTTGTAGCCGTGTTGGTCTAAGGACACAGGCAGACAAGGTTCTTTGGGTAGATGTGATATCTTCTATTAGACCAACTAAACAGGATTCGGCCTGACTTCTATGTATACAGTGATATTCTGCTTCTACTTTGCCGATGTGTATTGCTTCCGGTAAACTATATGGCTATTGTATTTTTCCTTTATTTCTTCTGTAAGAACCACACAAGATGCAGAAAACAGAGGTGCCTGAATTGTACTGTTATGAACAATTCTAGTGTTTATACTGTCTGTATATTTACTTTATTCATCTGAAGAGATTTAACAACATGCTTTTTGTTTCTCTTTTTCAGTTCCAGTTTTATGTAATACCGATGATTGCGACAAGCAGATTTAAAAAATGATATATAAGGAAGCTCTGATTTCCTGTACTTTATTTCTTTGCTATGTTTCTTACAAAATTTTTTGGAAAGTGAACCTTGATTCTGTAAGTTACAAGGGAAAAGTATTTTAAATATATGGTCAGTATGTATACAGTACTGTAGTTACTGTTACATTAATATATCTCAATGGGCATTTCTATTAAGCAGTTGCCTTGATATGCACTTAAATTACATACCTGTATGACCAAATTACTTTCATTTAAGTGCATTGTACCAAAAATATGTCCATGCTATGAACAGTTTTCATTCATAATATGAATGCTGTAGTACAGAAGTATATTCACTGAATATATCTTTTATGACCTTACCAAAGAATTAGTTATTTTGATATGGTATGTTAATTTACTGAATACCATTTAATGTAACTTCTGAAGTTTTTTTAACTAACCACTTGTCTTAATAGTTTGCTGACAAAGATTTATTTGTTTTTAGAAACACTTTCCTAATTTTATATGTCCTTCCTGATGCAAATGTATCATGGTTTTCTTCAGGGCTGAACTGTCCATGATAATATTTTATCTGATATTACTCATTCACTGCCAAATCATTTAAAAGATATGGCCTACACTTCAACTTGAATTAACTTTTACAGTCTTCTGCCTTTTTTATATATCCTCTGTGGTGTAGGAACTGGATATTTTTTAAATGAATGGGACTGTTTAATAACACACATGAGCAACTTTATGAGCATGAATCATCCTGTTTACTTCAATGAGACTTACATGCATAAAACTGAGCTCATCTATACTTGCTTCTAAGACTGGGGCCTACTACTTACTTTTCCACTTTATTACATAAGCTATTTAGTTCCTTCAGAATAGGTTAAAGAATAATTTTTAAAACAAAATTCAGAAAGTAACTGTTATGCCATACAACTACAGTTCATAACTAAACTTCCCTTCAACAAGGAAAGCATCTTTTAGTTAAACTGAGTTTAAAATGGTTCCTGTGGTTTTTATAGTCTGGGATAAGCACTTAACAGCATTTTATAGTTCTCCAAAGATGTTTTTACATGGTTATTTTTAAACAAAATATTAATACTTAACGTGACATATAAAACACATTGTATTTTCAGAAATGTATCTATACTGATTTAGTTTGCATTTTTTCTTGTGTATGTCCAAGGGAGAGCACTTCACAATACTCTTAAATAAATGTAACACAGTTGTTTACTTTTCTAAACATTTGGCAAAGAAACCACTTTGTTAAGAAAAATAAAATATTAAATCTTCTGTATTGGCTGGCTGGTTGGTATTCTGATGCTGTACTTGTACTCAGGGCATTCCTACTATATTCACATTGAAGCGATGATGCATGTAAAGATAAGGAATGGAAGGGAATTCATATGAATCTATGAATCTATGGAAGAAAATTATAGAAAGGAGCGTGAGATTGGCTTGCAAACCCCATGCTGTCCAGGAAAGAGTTAACAAGCTACCCTGGGCACCAGTGATACTGTCATGGGAGACCTTGAGTGGATCAAAAGTGACTACAGGGCTCTGGGTGCAAGGGTGAAGGGTCTGGGGCTCAGGTCATGTTTTCTTGGATCCTTCCGGTCAAGGGAAATGGCTGAGGCAGGAGCAAGTGCGTCCTGCAGATCAATACCTGGCTGCGCAGGTGGTGTGTCGCCAGCAGGGATTTGGCTTCTTTGAACATGGGTTAATGTTCCAAGAAGAAGGAAGAGGAAGAGATGGGATCCAGCTGATGGCGAGAGAAGAGGATCTTCGCAGGCAGGCTCACTAACCTAGTGAGGAGGGCTTTAAACTACGTTCATCAGGGGATGGAGACCAAAGCCCTGGGGTAAACGGGAAGTGGGAGACCTGAAGGAAGAGCAAACTGGAGGGGGCAACAGGGGAGGTGTTCTCATACTTCCTGAGAAATCAGGGCAATCAACTAGTTACCCCAGGTACCTGTACATGGATGCACAGAGCCTGGGAAACAAGCAGGAAGAATTGGAAGTCCTTGCACAGTCATGAAATATGATGCGATCGGATAAACAGAAACTTGGTGGGATAGTTCACATGACTGGAGCACTGTCATGGATGGTTACAAACTGTTCAGGAAGGACGGGCAAGAAAGAAGAGGAGGAGGAGTTGCACTTTATGTAAAAAAGCCATGTGATTGCTTAGAGCTCCAGTATGAAACTGGAGATAGGCCTGTTGAAAGTTTCAGGGTTAAGGTTAGAGGGGAGAGCAACAAAGGTGATGTTGTGGTGGGTGTGTAATATAGACTACTAGACAAGGAGGAAGTGATGGATGAGGCTTTATTTAAGCAGCTAGTGGAAGTTTCCCTGATCACACCTCCTGGTTCTCATGGGAAACTTCAATCACCCTGACATCTACTGGAAGTAGTGCACAGGCAATCTGGGAAGTTTTTGGAGAGTGTTGGGAACAACTTGCTGGTGCAAGCACTGGAGAGGCCAGCTAGGGGCTATGCTCTTTTTGACCTGCTGCTCACAAACAGGGAAGAATTGGTGGAGAATACAGTAGTGGATGACAACTTGGGCAGCAGTGACCACGAGATGACTGAGATCAGGATCCTGAGGAAAGGAAGGATGGAGAGCAGCAGAGTAAGGACCCTGGACTTTAGAAAAGCAGACTGTGACTCACTCGGGGAACTGATGGGCAGGATCCCCTGGGAAGCCAGTCTGAGGGGGATAGGAGTCCAGGAGAGCTGGCTGTACTTTAAAGAAGTCTTACTGAGAGTGCAGAAATAAACTATCCCAATGTTCAGGAAGACTAGCAAGTATGGCAGAAGACCAGCTTGGCTTTACAGGGAACTCTTCAGTAAACTAAATCACAAAAAGGAAGCTTATAAGAAGTGGAAACTTGGACAAATAAATAGGGAGGAGTATAAGAGCATTGCTCGGGCATGCAAGGATGAAGTCAGGAAGGGCAAAGTACAATTGGAGTTGCAGCTAGTAAGGGATGTGAAGGGTAACAAGAAGGTTTCTCCAAATATGTCAGTAGCAAGAGGAGGATTGGGGAAAGTGTGGGTCCCTTACTGAATGGGGGAGGCAAACTTTTGACAGGATGCAGAAAAGGCTGAAGTGCTCAATGGTTTCTTTACCTCAGGCTTTACAGGCAAAGTCAGCTCCCAGACTACTGCATGAGGCAGCATACCTTGGGGAGGAGGTGAGCAGCCAACGCTGGTGAAAGAACAGGTATGGAACTGTTTAGGAAAGCTGGACATATATAAGTCCATGGTAGGGTCCTTAAGATATTTAAAAATCTGGGCCTGAATGCCTGGACAGACGAGTACAGATGTTTTCAGGACAGATGCTTAGAGATATTTCTCTTACAGTAAAGATCTTAGCACTCACCATCTTCACTCCCTGTACTTCTATCTCTGCCAACCAAAATATAGTTAAAGAAAGTGGCTGCCTCAGTGATGAGGAGCAACCATGTTCATGTTCATTCTTGTTCTTTTGGTCCTTTTTCTTTTTTTTAAATCATCTTAAATCCTGTCATTTTGATCCAGCTAGCCTGCCATCAGTCTCATTATGGTAGAGTGTAGGCAAACATTGAACTAGGGGCCAAGAAGTTAGGCATTTTTAATCCGTAATCTGTGATAGATTCCTTTTGAAATCTCATATAGCTCACTTGTGGCAGAGGAATTATTTTTTCCCCCATATATAAAAGCATGTAATCCTTATGTCACAGAGAAGCTGTGAAAATCAGTGGCAGTTATGTGCTTCAAAAATATAAATCATTAATTTTCACAATCTATCTTTAGAAGTGAGACTTAAGCACAGAATAGAGACATAAAGTGAACAAGTACAGTGAGAGAGTCCAAATTTCTGCTTAATTAGTGATTTTCAGCAGTGACAGAACACTGAAAGCATCCTTCTATTTTGAAAGACCTCCAAATAAATGTTTTGCTCACTTAAACCCAGAATATCTTCTGCCTGTTCAATAGAAGGCTTTCCAGAAAGGTGCAAATTTAGCATAGTGTTTCATAGTAAGACAAAGTTCTTTGGATAAATCCGATATCTTTTATTAGACCAACTCAAATAGTTGGAAAAATTCTTTTTTGCAAGCTTTTGAGTACACATACCCTTCATCCTATCCTTTGTACCCAAAAGCTTGCAAAAAAGAATTTTTCCAACTATTTGAGGTGGTCTAATAAAAGATATTGGATTTATCCAAAGAACCTTGTCTGCCTATATCTTTAGCCCAATATAGCTACAACCTTATACCCCGAAACATAGTGTTTCATGGTATTTAGAAAAATAAAAGTATTGTCCTTTGCCTAGGGTGCTTCTGTGTGTTTCCACTGTCAAATGGGAGTTTCAGGACACTTCTGGAAATGTATTTGTTGAGGCTGTACAAATGCCTCTTTTTGCATCAAGCTATTACACTTCAAACTGTTTAACTATTTACAATGACACCTTTCTCATCCTTTCTTCATGTGTAAGAGGCACTTCACAACATTTGAATCTTAAACACTTTCACTGTACCCATAGAGAACCTAAGTGTTGCATCCATGGCATGCACTAGATTCATATTGCACTTTGTTAAATATAGATTTTCAGATGCAAGAGGCTCATCAGATCAGCAGCCTCAGCATATATAGGTTGGGGTACAGTGGTAGAATTCTAAGGAATAATGGAAGGGATCCTACAGGAAGTGTGAACTTGAAGCTTGACTCTGGTCTCGTGCCAGAGGTTTCCTCCAGCTGACCCAGCTATTAATAGATACCTGGTCATTCAAGCTGAGGAGTCAAAAGTAATCAGATGTGATTCTAGACGCATCACTCCCTTGTAGGCATTTGGCAGTAGAATCTGGTATATCCTGATGAGCTGTTAGGCTTGGGAGGACATTTGACTTTTATGACTTCCTACAGAATTCAGATAATATAAACAGATATTTAAAATCAGGATGGAGGGTGGATAAAGTGAAGCCCCAACCCAAGTTCTTGTGTATTGCCTGCCAAAGAATTACACTGTCTAATGGACTGTTCTGTCACTGAGCATGTCCACATGGCTTTGAACTATTCTGTTTCAAAACTATATTGCAGTTCACTTTTGAATGCTGAAAATGGACCAGTAACCTCAAATATATGCATTCTTTGTGGGTATGAAAAACAGTTCAAGGGCTTTAGAATGTCTCTTGAAGCAGGGGTGTTTCTGTATGTGGTCTGACTGAATACTTCTCATAGAAAGGAAACATTTTTGTGGGGAGCTGATCTGCATCAGGAATGGAATCAGACAGTCCCCTGAGAATGGGTAGTGGCTTGGGAGAGGGATTTCTGAAGGGCCTGTGGAGTGGGCTAAAAAGAAATCTGTCTTTTGGCCAACTCCTATGCTGGCCTTTCATGAGGCTATTATCTGGGCCCACCAGTTGGTATTTTTCTCTCAGACTACATTGGTTATCTTCCTACCTAAGCTTTGTCCCTGAAGGCATTGGCCTGATGGGGAAGGGGCTGAGCTAACAGAAAAATAATTTGCCTCTTGGCCAACAAGGAGCATATTAAAAAGAATGAGAGGTGGTGAAGAATCCTCAAATGAGTAATGCCCTCTTAATAGGGTGGCAGTTACAGTTATGGTTGAGAAACTTTTAAAATGAGCTAATTTTTCTATATTGTTTTTGAGCAATAGTTATCTAAGTGCTTTACAAAGGAGTTCAGTTCAGGGATCCTGGTTTTCTGATTTAAAAAAAAAATCCCCAATTTTTTATTTAAAAAAAAAAAAAAAAGTAACCCCAAATCCATATTTTTTCCATGATTGAAATGAAACATTGCTCTGTCTGTCTCTGTCTGTTAGCAGTGGCAATGCATAGGAGGTGCACATGCACCCCCTGAGAGTGCTGGTGTACCCCCTGACTGGCTGTATTGACCGATCAGTGCAGCCATTCCCAGAGAGACTGCAGCCACTCCTGGAAGTGGCCACAGCAATCGGCTGCGGGGGTCCCCCCCGGGCAGCGAGATTGACCGCAGGGGACCCCCACCCCAGTCAGTGGGACTGGTCCCAGTGGGGCACTTGCCCCTCCCCTCCCCG